CAATGACCGTGCTTATCTCAAACTATCAGGCCGTTTGAAAATTCTGTCGTTTCATTTTCAATAGTTTGTAATTCTTGCGTTATTACTAGAAAAATGAATCTTTCGCTTTCAAATTGTCTTGCCAAGCTTTTGTTTTTCACCGAAGCACAGATAAGAATGAAAGAGATATAAATTTTGATCATTTCAAGTCATACCAGAAAGCTGGAATGCTGCAGAAAAATCTAAAATCTTCAGCGCAAGAGTTTTCTACTACTCTTTTCAGCCGAGAAGAGTTTGTGCTGTTTTGACGCCTTTATGAGAAGTTATAAATTTTGAATGGGTGATAGTGTGATTAATTCTGGCGCTTTCTGTAGTAAACACGAAATTTATACTCTTCGTAGAGACGTCCAAACAGCACAAACTTTTCACAATTGCAAAAAGTTGGCCATAAAACTTAATTGCTAAGGAAAACGGATTTTTCTACAACGTTTCAGATTTCTGACAGTCTAACATGAAATGATCGCAGCTTGAATAATCTTCTTCATCCAATTTTATCTCTGCAACCAGAATTCGAAGTGAACTCTCTAAATACTTACTACAAAGAAGAAGATATCTTTTCCTTTTGATAAAATTACTGCAAGGGTCCAAAGCGCGAAGAATTAGGACCAGGGTTCAGCACAGGTGGCTTACAATCAAGCTGGATATCGTTTTTTGGGCAAAAAGCAAAGGGGTTTCGCTTCTGTGACCGAAGAGAGACGCAAAATTGGCGACTTGGCGACGTTTTTTTTAGTCGTCGTTTCTTTTTTGGGGGATTTTGGGGAATTTTTCAGGTTTTTAGGGGGAATTTGGTTGAGGGTCAAAGGGGGCTTCGTAAAAATTCCCAAAAGTCAAGGGAGACTTCGTTTTTTCCATTTTCATCTAGCCACCTCGTGCCGAGCCCTGATTAGGACATTTTGAAAATGAAACGACACAACTTTCGGACCGACCTAATATATACTACTCGCTCTGGCTTCTAAATGCATGTCTTCCGTGCATTTTATCCCTTAAAACAAGGTGTTTCTGCACTTCAAATTTTTTTCTGATAACTTTTACTTCCAAAAAAGGATGGAAATCAATGTGGAGCAATTGTTCGAGGCGGATTTATTTCAGTGTCACACAAACAAAGGTGAACTGACAAGATGATGAGTGTAATTTTCTGTTTCCAAATGACGAGTCTTTCTTGGGTCTTACACTGATCCCTTCTCTTGTCAGAGTAAACAACGAACTTTCGATCTAGGATAGTGGAAGTTGTAAGCAGCCGTATAAATGAGAATGGCCGCTTTATCGAGAAATCTCCTAGAAGGACACACTAGGTGCTAACAAATAAATTTGGTTCCTTTGGGACTCTTACAAATGCTGCAGATTATGTTCAGTGTTTGGTATCTCTGGAAAGAGCACTTCAATGAAAATTAGTCTGTGAATTCGTTTAAATAAATCTTATCTTTCAAGGAAAAAATCCGCAAGGAAGTGAGAAACGTCAATTTTTTCTCTTAGTGCGTAAATATGAGGAAATTTGGTTTTTATAGAAGATTTTCAAAGTGCCAGATTATAATTTCCATTGTTATTTACTAAATAAAAACACTCCACTGTATCCAAATACCAAACTGCTGTTCTCTACATCCATTACAGCATGAAAACGAAGCTTGGGAGGTCAAAGAATTGAGCTCTTGGGAAATTTAACCATGTTGAGGCATAGCCCTCTTTACTATTGATAGAAGATTCTGAGTATTTAATATGTGAGAGGGGAATCTTTTAGCTACTTTTCCACAAGGAATCATGGACAGAAAACAACAAGAAAGATTTCTATGGTAATTTGCATGCCAAAAAAAATTTTTTTTATCAAGTAAAGGATAATCTTCCTTTGATATAGTGTATTTAGTGCTGTTTGAGTGGGTGAAATTGTAGTGTTTGAATATACTTAGAACCATGTTGGTTCCAGCTTACTCTATTGTGATATGTATAGATTTGAGCACCTGCATATCATCTCAGATAGCACATACAAAAGTGACAAGGACCTCTAAGCATTCCGTTTCAGAAAAACTAGCGTGCAGAAGCTATGATCGCTTACTACCCTATTCCTCACAAGTAAATTTATGCAATCTGCGGTTAACATACGAAGGTAATTTTTTGCGCAAATCTTCGAACACCTTTAACCTTCCTTTTTTTCCTAAGCTTTTTTTTCCTTTTTTCCCTAGTTTTTTCCCAGTTTTTTTTCTAACTTTAGAAATTTGCATTAAAATTTTTTCAACTATCGTGTCCGAAGTGTGACCGTTGTCATTTTTCGCATGCGTTCGTTGTTCTTTTGTGGCCTCAAACTTGTTTTGCCTCTATTTTGCGGCTTGATGAAAGGCGCAAATTATTCCACTCTATTTGATTTCAAGGCTTTCTAATTGCGTCATTTTCAGTTTCAGACAGCAGGGCGTTGCAACCCCGTGGCCTCACACTTTCTTTCGCTTTCACATCTGAGCTAGTAAAATAAAATTTTATCTGCTGACAGCTGTTTGTAAGTAATAACGTTAACTAACATGAATCGATATGAGCGTATCTCAGAAGTACTTCTGCAGATATGCTCATCTACCGCAGCGCGATGTTAAAAGGAGCAAAGTATGAAGTCACAAGAAGAACTGAACTGTAACAATATCATAGCATGCCGATCTTCTTGCATTTCGGTATTTTAACACTACTATTCGTGACTAACTATCGCAACAGAAGTGCAAGATGATCGGCATGTAATGAACTCGTAACACTTCTCTTGTCGCGATGAAACGCGACGATGAAATCGCGTGAACTCTACCCGAAGCCTAATGCTGTGTTTACATACAGATACGCCGCTAGTTCACAAGCTTTTTTCATGGTTCTGTAAGCTACACAACACCCATTGTTACCGCATAGCAGCAATTGATTACAAACTTTCTCTCCTCCTTGCTTGGACCCGGAATTGCTTTAATAAGTGCTAGATAGGGAAACTATAATTAAACAGTTTGCGCAGTTGATCCAAGCGAGCATTGTTGAAATATGGGTCAAGAGAAGATTGTCCAACAAGCGTAGTCTTTGTCTCGAGCGACCGATAACTCAGAAACTATTACTCTAATTTGAGTACAGAACGTATTTGTTTTTTCTAGACTCGACCACCCTGAACACACCAGGAAATTTCGCGACTAAAGGATCGTACACATCGCTGCTTATTGTCCGAGAGTATACTACGGCATTAGTATCGTTTCCGAAACAGCGAGGCGGTTGAGAGGTTCGCCTAAAAAATCGAAAAAGGCGCGTCTTGTACTTGTAAAATTAGGGTATTTCAAAGCGACTATAAACATCATTCCATCTGCGGTCATCTGAAACACACTTATGTCCACAGTAATTTCTCAAATCGAGGCCAAATGCAGTGGTTTTCCGTCCTCAGTATGTGCCTCAGTTTTGACGCAAGACACGAAATCTTCTTTATGCTTAATTGCGAAATAATTTCTTGAAGTAGCGGTTTGATGATGGAGCGGAAATGCCAATGTGTTGTATTTTTGCTCAGTGCAAGTTCGGAAAATGCACTGATTGTGAGTCAGCATAGATAGAGTGGACTGCTCGCATTATGCTATGAGTTACAATACCGCTCACACTTTTTCAAAAATAGACGTGATTGTATGGACATGTATGGACATGTACGGACATGTCCATACATGTATGGACGTGTCCATACATCAGCGTGCGTGGCCATATCTCGCTTCAGAATGGGCGAATTCATCCAAAGCCACCATTCGATTCAGCCCGGCGCGGAAAATCTTCAGATTTATTGGAAGTGGGGGTACGATGTCTACGATATTCCGTTTCCAGTTTTTCCAAATTGTTCTGCGGAGGTCCATTTGCGAATATGTGAAGCAACGCCTACCCAACATAGAAGACTTTACCAAGTACTATTCGATAATACTGTTCTTGTAAATTATTGCCCGCTAAAAAATAGGCTCAGATTTTTTTCCAAAGGAGATAGAAGCGTTCGTGAATTTCAAAAAATCACGCGTTTTTAAATTCTACATTTTTAATTTTAGTGCCATAACTTCCTTTGGAATAAGTATATTTTGAATCCGAAAACAGCGCCTTGCTCAGCTCATCAAGGCGAATTTTTGCATCTACAGCATGTCCTTGATATTTCGATTTCAGTAATCTTGAATCTTTCTGAGGACGTCCTTTCGCGAAGGTGTAAAGCAGCGAGCATTGTCCCGAGTACATTCCAGCAAGGATCTTTCGATAGTACTTTTTCTGTAGATTACGATTTGCTAAATACTAACTGCAGATTTCTTTTCAAAGGAAATAGAACGGCTGGTGAAATGTGGAAAAATCTTGTCGTCCCAAATTCTACTCGCCATAGCCCCAGGACACGAAGCTATCTTGCGAAGCAGATGTGAGTTTCGAAATCAGCAGGTCGGATGACCTCTACGAGTTTTCCGAGATGTTTGGGTTGCCTCATTTTTTGTCGTTCTACGCTCTGAAGCTCGCCGGTGGATTTTGCTCAAAATGTCCAAATGCTCAAAAAATGAATTTCTTGCGCGTAACGGATTTAGGGGCAGTTTTCTAAGCGGGGCAGCATGCTGTGCGCTCGGACATGCTTTGTTCTCATGCGGGTGCAAGCAACCTTCCATGTCAAAATTTCGGGATGTTCGATGGCTGTGGCAAGCTGCTGCCTTTAACGGGGCCGTCAAGGGCTGCAAGGCCTCTTCTATAGTGTCTACGACGCTATCTGATTCCCCTCCGTCCAGAAACATTCATGTGAAATACCCAGTTGTTTGAAAAAACAGTCGGGCATAGTTACTTGAGCTGCTTGGAAATGAAGGAAGGTGTCCAACTTAGCATCGTTTACTGCCGATGATTTGCGACCTATATCAACTATACATACATAAGTCCTAGTTAGCCAGACCTCTCAAAAAACTAACTGAACATAATAATAACATCAATCAAAAATATGAGTGTCTGACCCAATTATCCGCACTATGGTATTAAAACCGTTCATTTAGCACTAGATGAAACTTACTTCCCGGGTTTTGGTCTACGGCCGTTATTGTGTTTTTGCCCATCATAGATTTCTTCGTCTTCCGAAGGCACATCTTTCTGGCTAAATAAATATTCTCCAAGAGGTGAGTTTTTTGTGGCTAAACTTACTGTCTATTCCTAGGTTTTCCATTCTTATTCCTCTTCCTCCAGAAGAGTGTTGCCTGGAAACACTTGAAATAACGTTCTTTTTATCAGATCTCCTTAACGGGACCGCCAAGGGCTGCAGGGCCTCTTCTACAATACCACCCGCAATTTGTGAAAAAAATTGGCGGCGGCACTTAACTCACGCAGCGCCGCCGCAGTTAGGTGGCAAGCGCCGCGTCGCGCGACAAAGTTAGGCGGAAAAGCGGCACTTGCCGCCTAACTTTGTCGCGCAACATCTAACCTTTCTATAAAATAGACCTTATCTTGATTCAAAATTGGTGAATTCTATACATAAGAGTACCATTCAACTCAGTTCGGCGAGGCGCATCTTCCAGTATACAGATGTGCCTAGTAGTGGGATATAAGTTTTTTTCCTGGAATTTTAGTGTAAATGGATCATTCAGTGTGCTGATTCCAGAGGCTACATACACATTCTGTTGAGCACTGCAGAAAGACAGGTATAGTTTAAGAGCTCATTCTGCATGGATATGTGTGAAACTGGGCTTTTCTCGGCGAAGTATGACGGGTTTTAAAATGCAGGAAGACAAAGGGAAATGGTTGGAGATCGCATGAGAAGCACATATCGCGGAATGCCGCGCGTGCCGTGCAATGTACAATACCACTCACGGAACGGGATTCTCGCGAAATTCCAGAAATTTCGCGATTCCGGAATATAGCAAATTATGCAGCGCCATAACTTCCTTCGGAATGAATAATTTCAAATCCGAAGGCAGCATTGTGTTCAGCTCGTCAAGGCGAATCTTTCGATCCGTGTCATCTATATCTTGTTTCCAGCTTTCTCAAATTGTTCTGAGGAGGTCCCTTTGCAAGTATGTAACGCAGCGCCTATCCAACATGAAAGTTTCCAGTAAGCACCAATAGAGGTTTTCGAACGCGCTCTCTACAAAAATCAAGGTCTTTGAGGATTACAGGGTCTTATTGCAGAGATACGTTGAGGTGACTGTAACTGCATCACGAAAGTGCGTAACTTTGCCCGCACTTCTCGCATATCTGTCAGAAAACTTGCCTGCTGCTTTTCTCATCCAATGTTACTAGGAACTGTGCTATCGAATGGTGCATGCCTCAGACTCCACACTACAGAAATCGCTCAGTTACGAGCCTACGAATACACATCCTCATGAAATTTGCCCAAAATGTAAAGATTGCATATTTCGTCGAAATACTACCGTGAGCCTTGTACAACACGCTGATCAAATTCTTCCACATCCTTAATGGATCTTATTGTGTTAGATTTGGTTTGATAATAGCTTCGATATTCAACTGACCAGCTGAAGCACACGCAAACACCATATTCAGTACAGTGGGAGTCGTTGGACGAAGCGAACATAATATCTGCAACGAGCGTCATACAAGCACTCACGGAGGAATTTCGACGATATGCGATCTTTACATTTTGAGCAAAGTTCATGAGACGTGTTTTCGTAGGCTCGTAACTCGGCGAATTTCATAGGTTGGAGCCTGAGTCATGCACCATTCGATAGCACAGTTCCTAGTAACTTTGAGAAAAGCAAGCAGGCAAGGTTTCTGACAGATACGCGAGAAGTGCGGGCAAAGTTACGCACTTTCGTGATGCAGTTACAGTCACCTCAACGTATCTCTCCAATAAGACCCTGTAATCCTCAAAGACCACGATTTTCGTAAAGAGCCGTTCGAAAACCTTTACAAGCGAAGCCTCTTTACAATTCAAGAGCATCAACATTTTGACCAAAATCCATCGGCAAGCTTCCGGAGCGTAAAACGAGAAAAAATGAAATAATCCGAAGATATCGGAAAGCTCGTAGAGGTTATCCGACCTGCTGTTCGAAACTCACATCTGCTTAGCAAGATAGCTTCCTATCCTGGGGCTATGGCGAGTAGAATTTGGAGCAACAAGATTTTTCCACAATTCACCAGCCGTTCTATTTCCTTTGAAAAGAAATCTGCAGTTAGTATTTAGAAAATCGTAATCTGCAGAAAAAGTACTATCGCAAGATCCTTGCTGGAATGTACTCGGGACAATGCTCGCTGTTTTACACCTTCGCGAAAAGACGTCCTCAGAAAGATTCAAGATTACTGAAATCGAAATATCAAGAACATGCTGTATATGCAAAAATTCGCCTTGATGAGCTGTGCAAGGCGCTATTTTCGGATTCAAAATATACTTATTCCGAAGAAAGTTATGACGAGTAGAATTTAAAAACGCGTGATTTTTTTGAAATTCACGAACGCTTCTATCTTCTTTGGAAAGAAGTCTGAGCCTATTTTTTAGCGGGCAATAATTTACAAGAACAGTATTATTGAATAGTACATAGTAAAGTCTTCTATGTTGGGTAGGCGTTGCTTCACATATTCGCAAATAGACCTCCGCAGAACAATTTGAAAAAACTGGAAACGGAATATCGTAGACATCGTACCCCCACTTCCAATGAATCTGAAGATTCTCCGCGCCGGGCTGATTCGAATGGTGGCTTTGGATTCAGAATTCGTCCACTCTGAAGCGAAACATGGCTACGCGAGCTGATGTGTGCATGTATAAACATGTACGGACATGTACAAAATAGACGCGAATGTATGGACATGTATGAACATGTCCGTACATGTCCATACATGTCCATACATTCGCGTCTATTTTTCAAAAAATGTGAGCGGTATTGTACTTACTGCATAACTCAAAATATCGTTGATTCTGCTCGCTCCTATAATCCTTATTCTCTTACTTCTCAATTTCTTTTGTGCGGTGGTCGCAAAATCCATTTAGATGGATAATGGGAAACAAAGAAATTTGTCCCTTCTGGCCTTCCACTCCCCTTCATTTGAAAATTAGCTGATTCTCGGAAAATTTTTGCCAGGAAGGAAATTCATCGGGATAGGCCCGAAACGTTTGCTTTTCGAAGATTCACAACTTCTTATTTTCTCAGAAAAATGCACAATTCCAGTTTTGCCTTACATTCAAAAAACTTTTCAACACAAACACTCAAATTTTTTGATTTTCGTACGAAAGTTGCCAACAAATAAGAAACACCTAGAAACTTTTGGTATTACATGTTCTAAAATCTGTTCTTCCTAGAAAAATCAAGTTTTGAGTGACTTTCTTTTACAGTGCCTGAGCAGATATCGTTTGGTAGGGAATTTTTATGAAAAGCATTCAAACAAGCAATAAATTGGTTTTGTTTGGATTTTCTTTCAAAAATGAGAAGCTTTTGTTAGAAATGCTCAGTCAGCAAACAAAACCTCAGAAGAGCAAGTCATAACGCTTATGATTACTACCGCCCCGATTTTGATGCGAGTTTCAGATTTCTGGCAATTTACTAAAAAAATTGAACTTTGAGTAAGTTTTTCTACAGCTTCTACTTCTGCAGCATTTGAATGTTAGGAAATTTTTAAATGCTGATGTGAAGCGCATGATTCTTCTTTTAGAAGAAGCTAGAATCGTACAAATGGTCTGAAAAATTAAGAACTTATGAACTTTTGAGAATGTGCGAACGAACTTCCGAACAAACCTCATACAAAAAGGATTCATCTTCTGAAAAGCAGATGAATGATGAGTGATTGCGTAATCCAGCAAATTTTTCTCAACTTCATAGCTTATTCTAGGAAGGTTAGAGGCAATGTCCCGGCAGATTCGCGCCTTGAGGATAATGCTGTGGTCGGGTTCCTGGTCATCCCATTGACCTCCATGCGCAGTCCGGCTGGTTGATGTTCCCCTGGGCCGAGAATAGCCCTTGAACCGGCGCGCGCAACTCCAATCGGCGCGCGCTCGGACTATTTCGCTTACCGTTCGGCGCGGGACCCCACGACTGCTCTCCCGTATTGTGCATGCTACAAAGCAAAAATTACAGGCAGCAGAGTTTGCGTGCCAGGGCCTCCCAATTTTCCACTGATTCTCGTCCGAGTTGTTTTTTGGAAATTGGGTAAACACCTCGAAAAAGGTCATTTCACCTGTTTGAAAGCTCAAATTCGGGGTGGGGTGTACGGGTCGAAAATGTCCAAAACATGCAAAAAGATGGAAATGCAAAAATCTGCCTGGACACTGCCTTCAACTGCTTAGGCTGTAATTTCCGCTCTCAAAAGGACATGGGATATCCAGCGGTGATCCAAAAGAATTTTTTCAGGGGAGGGGGGAGAGGGTCTTTCGATCAAAAGGTGGTGGCGATAGCCACGCTCTTTAAAAAATTTGAAATGCTTTGCTTCAGAGGGCCTGTAACCTGGATTCGAGAAAAAGGAGGCTTGTTTGTTGCCGTACCAATCTATCAGCAAAGCGAATTCAATCAACCCATGTAAGCCTCAAAAGCTTTTCCCCTCCCTCCATCCTCGTGTCACTAAGGCCTTCCCACTTCAAGGTTTACCATCACCTTTGTTTTAGATTCCCGTCCTCAGCGATGTCTCCTTCCTGACTACATCTTTTTACGAATTCATTATCGTTGCTTTCATTTGCTTGACCTCCCCCTCTGCCGACACTTAACTCATACTTGTAGGTCATATCAATGTACTCTGATGTGCGCAACGATTTCTCCATGGTTTTTCTCGGACATCAAATGCGCTATATCCTTAGCAATGATGTACTGCCATCCTTCTCTTGGGAGTCTCCGAAGCTATCATCGCTTAGAAGGATAAACCGATTTGTCAGCCGTTGTTCGATCATATCTCAAAGCCATAGCCATCACCACCATACCTGGAATTTGAATAGGGACAATATGTAATGGTCGCTGAATGCACATATTTTATGGCTACGTGATTCCTCGGGTTCCTTTTCTTCTTTTCATAGTCTTTACAACAGTGTCAAAAAATCTTGCTGAAAAATGCTTAAGCCACAACAACGAAAAATGGCATCGGCACGAATTGTCCAGCTTAAAATTTCTTGTGCGTTATTTTATGCTTATAGAAGGCTCAAGAAAACTTTAGCTATATCTACATTCGTTTTTAGTGTGAAACTTTCAGTGCTTCATATACAGAATTTTTTTTTACAAGTCGACATTCCACAATAATTAAAAATTTAGCTGGAGATGGACTTGTAAGATTGGTGTTTTGTTTATATTAGTTTCACCTAAAATTTGTTGCTTCTCTTACTTCTTCGTTGTTTCTTCTAGCTACCATCGCCTACTACAGCCGCACAGAGAATTGAGTTTGGGTGTAAATCTATCGCGAACCGACTTTCCTTTAAATCTCTAATTGCAAAAGTTTTTTTTGAGTTCCGTTCGAAAAATCCTTTTTAATTGATATCGCTCACGTTTATTTGTTCGCCACTTGATATCTTTGAAAGCAGGCTGACAACTGCTCTCCAGTTTGCTGCACGCCGGGTTGGAGCCTCTATTTCAACGCAGCCTTTATTTTCTTAGTTGTTAAATACTTTGGGAGCTAGTGCAGGCTTGATTATTTCATAGAGCTGGCATGAGCTTCAAAAGCTTCATTGGAAGTTTTGAAGAAGCTTATGAGCACTCTGAATTTCCATACTGATATGTTTATAGTTTGTTTAGAGTATTCCATATTACTACATATTATTAATTACGGCTCTATACATTACTCTGAATGGACTTGCCTCCTAATAAATATTCATAAATGCTTCTTGTTGAGCGCAGTTACTCATGCCTTTCCAGATTGAAAAACAAATTTCAAACCACTGACTTTATGCTAAAATCATAATGATACTAGAAACGGTCCAGAAATGTTCTGCAAGTGTGCTTGAGAATGTACTTAGCCATCACCGTGTATTTGTCATTGTAAGCCCACGTGCTAAGTGTCCACACTTCACTCTTGTTACAGTATCCGATCCGTTCAAAAAGCTTCAAGGTGCCTAGGTATTCTCATGGTTGGTTTTATGCTCGGAGCCTCTTTTCTCTATAAGAGTTTTCAACATGCCTCCTGAACTACGACTTTCTTCAAAAACACAAGTCATTATGAACCTCTTGCAAGATGAACAGTCATTGGCTCATATTTTTCCCTATGTATGTTTTCCTTTCCACATCCATTCCTTTCGGCTTCATCTGGTGTGGTTTACATCACATCGTTACGCAATTTGCAACAGAATAAGCTTTGTCGGCAATCACTTGATCTGTCGTACTTTCTTATGCAAGCTATCCAAACAGTAAACTCTTTGTCCGGTAACACTTACTTGTCTAAAAGACCTCTTTTTTTTCAAGGTCGTGTGTAATTCCACTTTGATGGCATACAAATTCAGAGACTAGTTCAGGTGACAACTCTCATCTGTGTACCCACTTTACTAAAGATCTTGATTAATGAAAAGATGTTCATGTTATTTAACTGGTAGAAAACAACTTTTAATGCTTGCAGGATATACGAACTTAACGTTCGTATTGTTCTTTGAGCTGCGGAATGTGATCGAAGGAACAACAACATTATTTGCAGCTTATCAGTAGTTACACAGACCCGACGACTTTTGTTTATAATTCCGATGTTTCGATATATAAGTCGATAATGAGACACAGCGACCATAATGCGTGTGTATGAGACATTTCTTTTCTTGTTTTATTGTTTCACTTTTCTTCTTTCCTTTTCTTGCTTTATTATTTTACCTTTTCCTCTCGCCTTATTCCCGTTGTGTCTCTTATTGGTTTAATACTTCCTCCTTTCCTCAGATCACAGCCTTTTGAATATAGCACACAGTTACAGTCCCTAAAACACGTATTATAGCATTTTACTCATTTTCTTGATTATCACAGTCATATTATTTGTCGTTTGTCTGCTTTACTTAGATTGTCACAGTATTTGATTTCCTTGCTCGCATTTTTTATAGTCATCATTGGGTTCGATTCTTTCATCACAGTTCCTTTTGCTTGAGAACATCACATCCCTCTGAGCTAGTTAGGTTCTCTAGTTCCCTTAGGATTAGTTATTTATTTGTGTTAAGTTTCGTTGATTTAGTTGTTGCTTAGTTATTGTTAATAAAGTTTAATTACCCAAGTTTGAGGTTGCTCACTGTGCGTGCGTTGATGTAAGTCCCGCGTGGCAGCAATCTGTTCACAGCCCCGAAAAGCAATCAAGTGCAATTCAAGTGGTGCATCGACTAAACACAGTTCCAAACAAGAGTTCGTATACTAACCCACAGCAACCTCGGACACAGATACTAACATAGAGGGTAATCCACAGTATGACTAGCACGGTCAGGTCTCATAAGGGGTTGGTAACCAAAAAGAACCAAATCGTCCTGGCATGGCTAGAGGAATCATCACAGTTTCTTCAAACTGTGCAGCAGACGAACACGCAGCACGAACACAGCAAGGAGCTGGCGCTAGCTGTGTCAATGTGCGACGAGTATCTACAGCTTCTAGAAGTCTCATTGACCAAACTCACAGAAGCTTTCGATAAGCTCGAAGATACCACGGATGAAGATGAAGACAGAATAAACAAGTACATAGAGACTGTAGAGGAAACCATTATCAGGCTGCATGCGCACAGGTCAAATCTCAAGAAAACGCTGCAAGAGGACAACACAGGAAGTATGCACAGAACAAGTGGGCCTAACGACCAAAGTTCGGTCGTAGCCAACAAGCTTCCTGTAATCCCTATCCCAACCTTCACAGGAAAGAAGTGGGAATGGGATAATTTTTGGGCTTTATACAAAGCCAACGTCCATGACCAAGACCTGTCACAGCTGCAGAAATTCAATTATTTGCTGACGTCATTGAGCGGGGAAGCTAAGCAATCAATAGCACGTTTCTATGTATCAGCAAATAATTACGACAAGGCTATTCAACACCTTGTCAAGCGGTACGGCAACAAGGAAGGCATTATTCTGGAACTCAACAGAAGCCTTCACAGCTGCATAGCCAGAGGTCCTAGCACAATGGATCAACGACAGTTATGGGACAAACTGTCTACAATAGCAGCACAGCTGGAGGAGCATGAACAACAGCTCAACAATCAATTAACGGTTCAAGTCTTTCTTCAAAAATTCCGTACGCGCATAAGGAAAGCAGCTATGGAAAGAAGACTAAGACAGAAGCAAGAAAATCAGCTTGAGTGGACTTTGGACCAATGGCTTGAGGCCATTGATGACATCATCTCACAAGAAGAGCAATTGAATTACATGCTCTCAGCTGAAAGGCAATTTAGTGAACACTCGCTTCACAGGGCAACATCATTCAGAGCAACCCCACAGCCGAATGGAAAATGGAAAACAATAATCCCTTGTGAGTGCTGTGGGAGTAAAGGACACAGATGGAGCACCTGTCCGCAGATACCCACAGCCACGCAGAAAAGAAGGTTCCTTACGGAGTCAAACAGGTGTCTTAATTGTGGCTCCGCTAATCACAGACTAACTGCATGTCTTAGCGGGAACTGCAGAAAATGCCACAAAAAACACCACACATCAACTTGCATAGAGGACAAAACAAGGGAACCTGAGAATCGTGGCAAATCATCATCAGGGCCTCAGAAATACGTAGAAAAAAGACCAATAAAAACTGAAATAAAAAGAGTGAGCAAGCCTTATCACTCCTCGAAACAACACGCAGTAACCAAAATACTGGAGCGAGAAGAACAGCATCATCTCGCGGAGGACCAAGAGCCAGTGAGAGATACCACACCGGAAGCTCCATTGGTGCTGCAAGTAAAAAACAAAAATGAATGGACACAAAGCAAAGTGATCTTACTCACCGGGGCAGTTAAGATCATTAACGACTAAGGACGATCCAAAGATGTAGTCGTACTGCTGGATACCGGCTCGGAGCTGTCCTTCATAGAAGAGGGGCTCGCCGAAGAACTGGATCTGCCGATAATTGGCACAACAACCTGGAACTTAGTACATTTGGATCACCGTCTCATAAAATGAAATCATGTGCTGTGACCAACCTAATACTGATGGATCGAAATGGCAAAGAGCATAAAGTACGGCTCTACAGAAACGATTACATAACTAGCGCCGTACACAGAGCAAACCTAAACAGGAACGATTTGCAGTTCATCAAAAAAGGAAAATTCGACTTATCCTTGCCATTAGAAGAAGGAGAACTTCGACCACAGATTTTACTTGGCTGCGACTATCTCTGGAACTTCATAGAACCAGGCAAAAAATTGAGCTTACCATTTGGGTTGCAGCTGATACCCACAGAGTTGGGGTACATCATCAGTGGTCGGCAGATAGTTAGCAATCAAAAATCTCCTTCGACCAGTAAACCAGCAATAACCTGTATGTTACACGGGGCTGAAACCGAGAAGGAAACATGGGACCGCTATTGGTCTTTAGAATCTACTGGCACAGAAGAATACGCTGGTTCACAACAAACAGAGATACAACGAGTGAACGATGAAGTACTAAAAAGATTCAAGGAATCCATCGAAAAAAGGGAAGATGGATACTACGTACGCCTGCCTTGGAAGGAAAATCATCCAGATCTCCCTGATAATAAGGCATTGGCGCTAAAAAGATTGAAGAAAGTTCTGGAGATATATCAGAAGGATGATGAGATTCTCCAAGCATACGATAACACCTTCACAGACCAACTACAAGGGTGTTATTGAAGAAGTATCACCAGAGGAACCCACTGAAGGACAGATTGT